CGGGTGGTGAGCAATTGTACTGTGCATCACTTGCTTTGTGTATTATTATTATTATTATTACTACTACTACTACTACAACTACATTATTATTATTATTATTGTTATTATTATTCTATTTCAATTATTAAACTGTTTTTATCTCAAGCCACGAGTTTTTCTCACTTCTACTCTTCCAATTCTCTCCCCCATCCCACCGGGGGAGCAGGGGGGGAAGGAGTGAGCACGCGCCTGTGTGGTGCTCAGTTGCCGACTGAGGTTAAACCATAACACACTTCAAATTAAGACTGCTCTCCCATAGTAGAGATAAAAGTGCTCTTGTTACAAGGAGTCTTTACAAAAATTACTAAGCAGACCATTACTAAAGACAGGACCATTTTCTTACTAAGTGCAGGTGGCTTGGCAAAGCTAATTTACTTTTCTGCTTTTCAGCTTTTCTATCTGAGAAAAATGGGAGGCAACCTATTCTAGGTGCTCTTGGGTAGAGAAATAAAATAATCCTGGTGCGGTTGTGTCTCTGTTGTATCCTGACACAGTCTCACACAGGACCGATGCTTTGGTTCTGGAGGAAGGTGCTGAGCTGATTTTTTTAGGATTGCTTTCAAATCTAAAGATATCTCTTTGCATTAAACTCTTGTACAGGAGAGGGTACCTTAGCACTCCTCAGTATCCTTACTGCAGAAGTGGAGCTCAGCTTTCTGCAACTTTCAACCCTAGCAGTCAGCTGTTGTTGTTTTACATTTCTCTTTTCACTAAACCTAGATGGGAAGGGAGACATTACAGGCCCCAGAGGATATGAAATAGTATTTTTATATGACTATTTGCACGAGCAAGGAAAAAATAATTGCACAAAACAGATCAGTCCTGTGCCATGCACGGAAGAGTAAACACTAACTTTGTATCTGCTGCTATGAAAAGAGTCACTGTTCTGTGGTTCCTCCTCTAATTCACATTCATGAGGATCAGAGAGCAGCTGCGGACTCCCGTCCAGGAGCTAGGGCAGTAAAACAGAGAGAGAGAGAGAGGAAACTGGAATGAAGAAAACTGGATTCTTCAGATAATGGCAGAAAATAAACAGGAAAGGATATATAACAGGAGAGGATTACAATTGCAAAGAACTAGTGATAACAACCCCAAAATGGCATACGTGCAGGTGTTATTTTTGGACTTGTAAATTCTGTGAAGACATGGGTACAGACTGATACATACACATTACTATCACAATGCTTATTCTCTTACCTTCTAACTTAAATACCAAACTAGAGCTGCTGTCTGCAAGTTCATACAGATATCATTTAGGGGAATTTAAATAGTATCACAGATTTAACAGTAATTTTCAATAACTTTAACTCCATTTAAATTTAAAAAAAATTCTTTTGGGCTTACATTTTTAATGTTTGCTTCTTGGGCAAAAAGTATGAGTAACCTTTAAACAAAATGTTATCCTGGTAACGGTGTGAAGAAAATTACTATTCTAAAATGTACCACCCCTAACAAATTATAAAAAAAAGCTTTTAAAACAGTTGGATTTTAACTTCAGCAATGGCTAGTCCTCAAAGAGAACACTCTTGACAGTTTTAATTTTTTAAAGTTAGGGGTGTCAAAAAGCAATCTTTATAGCAGTGCCTATTAAATCCAGTAGGATTTTGCTGTTACGTTATGTACAAATGTCAGCACAGCTAATTGTTAACACCTTTCATTCTTCAGGACAATGCTGAAATGCTGAGTATGAACATTAACACATGCCTGCTGGAATTCAGGCTGCCATTAAATGACATGTTCATTTGCATTCCTTAATATGAAATAAACTGTTGCATTAATTCATTTCCTCTTTTCAGTTTGGCCACTTACAAAATTCTTAAGCACTCGCTTTTCTCCTATGGCAGATAATGATTCGGTACCACCGGTAACTCAGTTTTTAGCATAAGTATTAAGTGAGCACGTGAAAGCTTTACTTTTTTCAATAAAAGCAGTATTCTCAAAAATCTCAGGAAAATAGAGGGTAACAACACTGCCCTGTTACAGTGAAAATAACCAAGAATTAAGGGAAAAAATCTGAGATACAGCATCTCTTCCACTTTAAATGTGCCAAATATCAGGAGTGGAAGATAATCTATTGGCTATGAAAATACTGAAATTCTCTAACAAAGAAGAAATGTGTGGCAAAAGTCACTGGACTGGGTTGGAGAGCATTTTGGGTTGGAGAACATTTAAATTAAGCCCTTGTGTATTTTCTGAATTTGGACTTTATTCGCCTTCTAAAAATGCTATTCCAAGCTCACTCAAGCCGCGCACTGTGCAAGGCCTGCGTCCCTGTGATTGCACGGAGGGCTGGAGGCAGGAGAACAATTTGCCTATGTACAATTTAAGAGTACAAGTCAATGAAGTGGAGCATGCTGTAATCAAGCTAGAGCTTGCACTCTAGTGCAAAAACATCTGCAAGGAAGAATTGGGCAAAGCATTTTTAAAACTACACATGGGTTTATCCTTGCCT